GCGGTAACCAACTTCCGGTAGGAATTTCCTTTCCGTTCTCACTTCGTCCCTGGACTGCATTGCACGTTTTCTTTTTCTTTTTTGAAGTTTTTTCTTTTTTTTTCTTTTTTTTCGTTGCACGTTTTCGCGTCTCAAAACGGAATGGTTGATGAGGACCGACAGGCGGCCCCCGCACAAGTCCTGCGCCTGCAATAGGGGAGTCGGTGGACCAGTCCCGGCGCCTGCGGAATGATGGAGCTGGTCCCTGAAGCGAAGACCAGGGGCCAAGTCCCACTTACCCGAAATCTGAACATCTGACCGTAGATTCGGAAGATCAACGGCCAGAAGTGAAGAATCAGCGTAAGTGGGACTTGGCCCCAGGTCTTTCGTGGCTCGGATGAAATGGTGGACCAGCACAGGCAGGCAGCTCCAGAGCGGGGCGTGGCCCCTGCGGAATCGTGGACCTGGTCCCTAAAGTGGGGACCAGGGGCTAGTTGGTCCCACTTACACCACTTAAGCGATATTGACCGTAGATAGCACAGATCAACGGCCAGAATCTCTTCTTAATCCGTGCAAGTGGGACCTTGCCCCAGGTTTTCGAGGCTTGGACTCCACACTTGACTGGTGAACGAAGCCCCTCCTCAGGCCTTACGGTCCCGTACAGCCCAAAAGTGGTCCGCTGAGAATGGCCCTCACTCCACTACTCTCGGCATNTGACTGGTGAACGAAGCCCCTCCTCAGGCCTTACGGTCCCGTACAGCCCAAAAGTGGTCCGCTGAGAATGGCCCTCACTCCACTACTCTCGGCATGCACAAAAGACAAAAATCATGGCGGTGTATCTTTCCATGTTCTCGWGCAAGATTCACTCTCCTTTTGCTCATCCCCAAGGACTCTACGCTTCACCTGTGAAGTTGTGAACATTATCAGGCTGCACCAGTCGTATCTGGTAAACCAAGCCCTCCGTTTAGTCTGGCACAGCCAAGAAGTGGTCCCATCACATTCCCCCCTGCCGCTGCAGATGGGACTACCCTATTTGCCCTGAACACGATGCACAGGTTTTCGAGGCTTGGACTCCACACGTGACTGGTGAACGAAGCCCCTCCTCAGGCCTTACGGTCCCGTACAGCCCAAAAGTGGTCCGCTGAGAATGGCCCTCACTCCACTACTCTCGGCAT